GAAAACGTCTAATCGTTGCAAATAATATGAAATGAGGTAGTATTAATTTCTGTATCACTTACTTTTTAAATTTTTTAAACAAAAAGTGGTCGCGGTATTATAATAAAATACTTATTTTCAACTATAATCCCTTCAAAATCACACCAAACCTAACCTATGAAAGTCGACTGAATGTGGCCTATCAAAGTTGGACGGAGGGAATAGTTTGAATATTTAAACAATAGCAAACATATTATTAGTCAGGAATGAACAAATTGATATAAAAATTGCATAAATCATCAAATAGTAGTTTCTTTTAACCTTACAACAAATTATCCACTACAAAAACAAAAATTAATACTTAAATGAAATGAATTAATGCAATTGTCATACCAGTCTACAACTGTCGAAAGTAAAATCGGGAACACCGTAACGCTTGAAGAACTCGGCAGCCTCATCAACAATACTCGGATGATGGAGGTCGTACTCGTGCGTACAACCCGAACAACTAATCAAAATCAAATAAAATCAACAAAATTGAACATAATTGAATTAGAATTTCAAGGCAAAGAAGAAATTGAAGAACATACGAGTGAAAATGGGGGCACTGAAGAGCGCAAGAGAGAGAAGAAGGAGGAGGTGAAGAATTGAGGTTGTTAGGGTTTAAGGAGAGAGAAGTAGGCGGAGCTGACGGTGGTGGTGGTTGGGTGCGCACGGCGGCGGAGGTGAAGCGGCGGGGAGTGGTGAGAGTGGTGGAAGAGAGGTGGAGAGGAGAGAGAAAGGAGAGTAGCATTTTATGTAGTTGCAGAGATTGTTAGAGAGTAGAATGGTGGAGGAATGGAGGATGGATTTGCTGTTGCTTTTGCTGCTGTTACTCTGCTGCTCCCATGGCGGAATTGGATAATATGAGAGTATTGTTATAATTTATATACATTATATAGAGAGAGCCAAGGAAGTATTTTACTATTGTAATGTTATTGCACTATAGATAAAAATGAGAAAATGGGGTGAATTTGCAAATGCATTTCACCATGTATTTATAGTAGAAACATGCTACTTCTACTAGCTATACACAAGTCACATATAGGTTACTAGGTTTGAAAAATATTGCCTATGCATTTAATGGTGTTATCTAAAAGATCAATAATTGTGTGGCATTCATACAATGACACAAGTTACTTCATAACACTCCCCCTTGAATGTCCACACGAAGTTGAGTAAATGTTGTCTAATTAAAATCTTGCTAGGGAAAAGAAAAACAATATTCTATTATATGCTGTAGTGTACTGCCTCATTAAAAACCTTGTCAGGAAAACCCATTGGGATAAAAACTTGATCGAAAGGAAAAAAGAGTGCAGTGCATATAATACTCCCCCTGATTTTAATGTAACTTATGAAGATGACGCATTCCAATCTTGTGAACCAACCACTCAAAACTTTTTGAAGGTAAGGACTTTGTAAACAAGTCTGCGAAATTATCACATGATTGGATCTGTTGGACATTTATCTTCCCTTCCTTCTGTAAATCGTGTGTAAAGAACAATTTTGGTGATAGATGTTTTGTCCTATCACCTTTGATGTACCCGTCGATCACTTGCGCAATGCATGCAGTATTGTCTTCGTAAATGATGGTTGGATTTTCAGTTACTTCTTTCATCCCACATTCTTCTTGAATATTGCCGATCATTGACCTTAGCCATACGCACTCGCGTCCTGCTTCATAAAGGGCAATCAACTCAGCATGATTTGATGATGTCGCAGTCAAGGTTTGCTTTGTTGATTTTCAAGAAATTGCAGTTCCACCATAGGTGAACAGATATCCAGTTTGTGACTTGGCATTTTGTGGGTTTGATAGATATCCAGCATATGCATATCCGATGAGGGTGGCATCTTGCCTTGATTGATAAAACAAACCAAGATCTTTCGTTCCTCGTAGATATCGCAATAAGTGTTTTACTCCTTTCCAATGTCTTTTCGTTGGTGCGTTGCTAAACCTGGCTAACAAATTCACAGAAAAAGCTATGTCTGGTCTAGTATTGTTAACTAGATACATTAGAGCCCCAATTGCACTTAGATATGGTACTTCAGGACAAAGGACATCCTAGTTTTCTTCTCGAGGTCTAAATGGATCATATTTCATATTCAAAGACCGAACAATCATCGGGGTGTTTGTTGAGGTCGTTTTGTCCATGAAAAAGCGTTTTAACACTCTTTCAATGTAGTTAGACTGATGGACAAAAATACCATTATTTAAGTGCTCAATTTGCAATCTAAGACAAAATTTAGTTTGTCCAAGGTCTTTAATCTCAAATTCTTTCATCAAGTATTTTGAAGTTCTTTCAAGTTCATTTGGAGTTCCAATGATATTCAAGTCATCAACATAAATTGCAACAATTGCAAACCCTGATTGTGATCTCTTAATGAAAACACAAGGACTGATTTGATTATTCTTGAACTCTTTTTTCATAAGGTATTCACTAAGACGATTATACCACATCCTTCCAGACTGTTTTAATCCATAAAGTGACCTTTTTAATTTTATGGAAAGCAAATGTCTGGGCTTGTGGTTTTCTGGTAATTTTAGTCCATCTGGGACTTTCATATAAATGTCTGTATCAAGTGACCCATATAAATATGCGGTCACTACATCCATTAATCGCATCTTTAGTCCTTCTGAGACTGTCAAGCTTACTAGAAATCTTAACGTAGTTACATCAACTACGGGAGAATATGTCTCCTCATAATCAATCCCTGGAATTTGAGAAAAACTTTGGGCCACAAGTCTTGCCTTGTACCTAACAATTTCATTTTTCTCATTTTGTTTTCTCACAAATACCCATTTGTATTCAGCTGGCTTTACACCTTCTGGTGTAAGGGTTATTTTGCCAAATACTTCTCGTTTTTCGAGTGACTTTAACTCTGTCTGCATTGCCTCTTTCCACTTTGGCCAATCATGCTTGCAACGACATTCTTCCACTGTTCTTGGTTCACTATCATTTTCGTCAGATGCCATTTCAATTGCAATGGAATATGCAAATATATCATTTACGATAACATCATTTCTATTCCAATAATTCCTGGTAGAAACAAAATTTATTGAAGTTTCATTGTTATCGATGTCATGGTCATCTTGTTCATCCCCTTTCGGATTATCATCTTTTTCTTTATTCTCATCTGTATTTTGTCTTTCTTGATCTTCCGTATGGGGAATATTGTTGATCTCATCAGATCTTTTAAGTTTTCTTGGTTTAGTGTCTTTTGAACCAAGTGGTCTTCCACGCTTTCGGCGTGCTAGAGATTCATTTTCAGTGATCTTATCACCAGATGGAATTTCGATTCGTGCAGGGGCATTTTCAACTGGTATATGTGATTTTGTCACTTTCTTTGTATCTATAAATGCATAAGGCAGCTGATTTGCAATGCTTTGTAAATGAACAATTTTCTAAACTTCTTGTTCACACATATTTGTTCGTGGATCAAACATTGACAATTGTGTTGCATTCCAAATGAGTTCTATTTCTTTCTTTCGTGGGTCCACTTTCTCTCCCCCTAAGGCTGGGAATACTATCTCATTGAAATGACAGTCGACAAATCTAGCCGTAAATAAATCACCGGTCATTGGTTCAAGATATTTAATTATGGAGGGTGATTCAAACCCAACATAAAATTCCCGGCCTTCTTTGTGGACTCATCTTCGTTCGTTGGGGTGGAGCAATAGGAACATACACCGCACAACCAAAAATTTTTAGATGTGAGACATTAGGTTCTTGACCAAAAACTAATTGTAGTGGTGAGAACTTATGATAAGCAGTTGGCATGACCCCAAGCAGATGAAGGCAATTTTAATCTCATCAATAATGGCCTTGCAATCAATTATAGCTTCTTAATTAATGACTCAGCGAGGCCATTTTGTGTATGAACATGAGCTACTGGATGTTCTACAACAATTCCAATTGACATACAATAATCATTAAATGTTTGGGATGTAAATTCCCCAGAAATGTCAAGCCTTATTCTTTTTATTGTATGGTCTGGAAATTGTGCCCTTAATTTAATAATTTGAGCAAGAAGTTTTGCAAAAGCAACATTTCTACTGGACAAGAGACTTACATGTGACCATCGAGTTGAGGCATCAATTAATACCATAAAATATCATAATGGTCCACATGCAGGATTAATTGGTCCACAAATGTCTCCTTGAATCCTATCTAAAAATGTTGGAGATTCAGTAGCAATTTTGTTCATAGATGGCCTTATTATTAATTTGCCAAGTGAACATGCAGAGCATGTTAATTCATCTGATCGAGGGATTTTGACATTCCTAATTGAATGTCCTACTGAATTTGCTATTATCTTGTGCATCATTCTTGTACCAGGATGACCCAAACGATCATGCCATAAAGTTAGAAGATTCTTATTATCTAACTTCTGGTTAGATATCGAATTTATTTCAACTGGTCGTATATCTATAAGATATAACCCTGAAGAATATGCTGGCAATTTCTCATACACATGTTTCTTGCCATGTTTTTCTACCGTGAGGCATAAATATTCCTTTTGATCCACTATCATTGTTTCTAAATGAAAACCATTTTGACGCACATCTTTAAAGCTTATGAGATTTCTTCAAGATTTACTCGAATATAAAGCGTCATTAATGATTAATTTTGTTCCATTTGGGAGTATTATGCAAGCTTTTCCAGAACCTTCTATTAGCTTATCTGACCCATAAATGGTATTAACATTTGCTTGAAATAAACAATTTTAACTTTAAAAAATATTTTCTATCCTTCAGAATAGTGTGTGTTGTTCCACTGTCCAAAAGACATTGAAATTTGGAACCAACTTCGGGCAGATCCATATCTTCATAAAATAATAAGTATAAGATTAGTTTAAGATAATTAAATTGGACTTACTTTATTAATAATGAAAAGTTAAAAGTACATAACTCGAACATGAAAAACATAAAAGAAAAGTACATAAAGAAAACATAATACATATCACAGTAATTGATGAATTATCTAAACATGATTATTCTCTCCAATGGTAAATTCACCACCAGCTTCACCATTGTCTATGAGGAAATCAGACACATTAAGGCTAATTCTAGGGACATTTTCTTCATTAACGTAATTTGCTTTGACATGTTTTTCTTTCCCTTTAATGGAAGCCTGGTAAAGCTCTACCAAATGTTTTGTCGTACGACAAGTACGTCCCCAATGTCCAGTCATGCCACATCTATAACATGTGTCTTTTCCTTTTGTGGTGGCTTGATTTTTGTTTCCTTGTTGATGCCCCCTTTGAGTGTTGTTTCTGGGGGAGAAATGGCCTCTACCACGGCCATGACCACGTCCACGGCCACGTCCGCAGAAATTTCCACGACCTCTGCCACGGTTATTATATTTTCCACATTCACCTCTATGAGCAACATTTATCGCGGGTGGATTTGAGCTTTCTACAGCATCTGTTTCATTGAATGCTTGAGACCCAGTTGGTCTTAGGTTGTGATTCTTCAACAGAAGATCATTATTCTTTTCAGCAACCAATAATGTAGAAATAAGCTCTGAATATTTTGCAAAACCTCTTTCACGGTATTGCTGCTGCAATACAAGCAATGTTGTTAGCATGGAATGTAGAGAGTGTTTTCTCTATCATTTGCACTTCAGTGACTGGTTGATCACAATATCTCAATATTGATACAATTTTATATAGTGATGAATTATAATCACTGACAAATTTAAAGTCCTGAAATCTCATATTTGTCCACTCAAACTGTGCTGAAGGAAGTAGTACCCTTTTGTGGTGGTCATATCTTCCTTTCAGGCTATCCCATAGTTTTTTGGGATTTTCCACCATTAAATACTCAGTTTTTAAATTGTTATGTAAATGATGCCTTAAGAGAACTATAGCTTTTGCTTTCTCTTGATCAGTAGGAACTTTAACTTGAGCAGGGGCATCTTTTTCGTTTCCTGGGATGGTAATTTCTTTGATTGTATGTTCCAATCCCTGAGCCTTTAAATTCATTTGGGCATCAACTGTCCGTTCAAGATAATTATGTCCGGACAAGTCTAATACGTCAAATTGTCTTTTCATCAAGTCTCCCATTTTAACTAAAATCAAATAGATAATTATTATTAAGCCAATTAAGCAAGTGATAATTAGAGTAATCATAATAATAAGCCATTTAAAACATATTTTGCTTCTCCCCCTTGGGTTATTATTATGATTTACATAAAATTAAGCTAAAATAAAGCATGATAATTACGTTAGTTAAACAACAACAACAATAATAACAACAATAAAGATAATATTAACAATAAATACTACTACTATTCCTACCTCACCGACAACAATATCGACAATAATAATAATAATAATAATAATAATAATAATAATAATAATAATAATAATAATAATAATAATAATAACAACAACAACAACAATAATATTAATGACATACATTAATGATAAGACAAAAGGAACATTTATTATAACAAAATGCACTTATAATCTACCTAGAAGACAAAAGACTTGAAGTACTACGGAGATTACATGCATTAATTCCCTTTGTCGAAAAAATGAGCGCTACTTATGTAAAATGATGAACATCATCATTGCCATTAATAAAACTACTAGGGCCATAATTAAAACTAAGTATAGCTTTAATTTCCTTAAATCTTCTTCAAAGGTAAAGGGGTGTGGTGGTTGTCGGTTGTCGATGGGGAACATGGTGCGTGGCCGGAGTGAATGTAGGAAGAAGAAGAGGAAATAATTTGGGTAAAGTTTAAGGAGGGGATAAGGTTTGTATGGTGAAATAAAGGGGGTGTAATCCGCTTTTATAGGGGGGTGAATTATCCGTTGTAGTTTTACACAACTGTAAAAATATCACACAATGTTCTAGTAGACTGGTAAAATAATTGTAATCAAACTATTAATATTTATAAATGGAAAAGTATCACACTGGGATGCAAGCCGTAGTGGTCTGAGAACCCTAATCAATTCATGAGGTCAAGGGTTCGAAACTGAAAGAAACATAAAAAGTGTGTAATCTAAAATTAAATAAATAATATAAAGGTTGCATCATATTTTTATTTCATTTTAGTAATTATGCATAAGTATGTAAGTATGAACATGATTTGTGTGACCATGAAATTTACTCTATTAAAATGCATACAACAATTATTTCCCCATGCAAAAGTAATTATATGTTACTTTCTATAACCATGCATGAGAGTTACCAAACTAAATATCATAAATATAGTATGTATTGATATCCTCATTTTTATCAACATGGTTAATTATGTAAAGTAATTTTGTGGAGAAATATATTGTGAGTTTCTGGTATAGAGGGTCCCATATGGGCAACTATAGAGCATACTCCTCAAAATATATTTTGTGAAATAAATTGAAATCTTTCTAAATTGGATAATCGGTATAAGTATACCTGATTGAAGATGGTGCTGATAACGTGTTATAATTTATACATAGAGAGAGAGAGAAAAGGAAGTATTTTACTATCTGTAATATTATTGTACTACAAATGAAAATGAGAAAATGGGGTGAATTTGTAAATGCATTTCACCGTGTATTTATAGTAGAAACATGCTACTTCTACTAGCTATACACAAGTCATACATAGGTTACTAGGTTTGGAAAATATTGTCTATGCATTTAATGGTGTTATCTAAAAGATCAATAATTGTGTGGCATTCACACAATGACATAAGTTACTTCATAACAAGTATGTATTTATTTATTGTTTTGAATTTTTGAGTTGCTAGATATTTAAAAGGCCCAATTTCAAGATGGCTCAGCTCACCTCATCGTGTGTTGTGGACTTGTGGAGAATGTGGACTTGGTTTTGCTTTTTTTCTTTTGGGTGCAAATGTGGAGTTGAAGTTTTTTTATACTACTTCATCCTTTTCCTTTTGTTTTTAACGTTTAAAATGATAATTATGTGCGGCTTTTTAAGAAATTGCATAAAGGTATATTAGAATAATTCAATCTTTTATACGAAGTATAATTTAAGAGTTGTTTTTGCAACTTCTCACCACAACAGTCTAATTATTGAATAGAGCAATTCTATGCATTATATATATATATATGTATATATATATATATGTATATATATATATATGTATATTATATATTATATATATATATATATATATATATATATTATATATATATATATATATATATATATATATAACCTTATTGTTTCGGGGTTTTCTGATGTCCTGCGGGAGAGTTACAATACCGAGACTGGAACCGGACGCATGTACCTGCAAAACAACGAAGACTCCTTGTGGTAGGAGCTCCGCCTCCAACGGTCAAGTTAGTACTTGTTTGAGGAGTAATAAATGCGGAAATAAAAGGTGAGAGATCTGGTTCCTCTAGGGGAGAAGTGATCAATGTGTTCTAGGCTCTCTAGGTTAGAGTAGTCAATTGCTCGATTTGCGTAATCTTGGTTCTCTCTTTTTGTGTTCCCCTCTTAATGAGGATTAAGAGAGGTATTTATAGCCTCGGGAAACGTGCCAATCTAGGTTTAGGTTAACCTTGGGCCGATTGGGCTTCCCTCGGAAGTTGGGCCTAGGAGGCCGGGTTCTCCAGTAGGCATGGAGCATGCCATTTGTCATGGCATAATAGGTCCAAGGTGGACAAATAAGCGCGTGCCACGTGGCAAGCCCTGAGAGGTCCAATTGGGGGACACTTGGCAGGACCTGATTGGCCCACGTGGCGCATTCCGATTGGTGGGATCAAAATCCCCTAATCATTTGCCCCTCACAGGTGGCACGTGGCTGGTCACGTGTTACCTGTGACAGGTGTCGCCCTGTAACAGGCGTCGGCCTGCTACAGGTGTCACTTGGCGAAAGGCCGACAGATTCTCCCGCCAAAATTTTGAACTCTGGAAGTGACCCTTCGCCTTCTCATTTCGCCTATATAAGGGAGTGTTGACTTTAGTTATTTTCATACTTGAGAACTTTGTGAAAGAACATTCGGACCCCTGAACTTGCTCTGACAATTTGGAACTTTTCTGCCTACCTCCTGCTCTGACAAGCCGACTGCTTAGGATTTTCAGAACTTCATCAATCGTCATTCATTCAGGTAACCGTCGGTTCTTTTACTCTTAATTTTCTTGTTTTTTAATTTCTTTTTGAAATGGTACCACGGAAGCACACGACACGGCCTAGGTTAGTGATCAGCCGGTCACCGGGGACGGCTGAATCTAGGACTAGGAGTGCCGCCTGCCCTTTTCCGGACCCATCTTCGCCCTTTATACATAGTCCAACTGTATCTGTGTCTATGCAGAACGTGATGGCCAGGACAAAAAAGACTGCCAGGATATCGAACTCAGACGGCTCCTCCCAAAGGGTGCCAATAAGTGAAACATCCGACCAGGCGCCAGATGTGGAAGTGGAACAAAGCGGCTTGAAAGCCGGCAACTCTACCTTCTCTCCTGCTCCTTTAAACGGACAGGAGGCGGGCCCCTCCGAGAGAAGGGAGGAGTCGTCCTCTTCGGACTCGTCAGAGGACGAGTCCGAGTCTAGCTCTTCTGGCCATACTTCTCTGGACACAGAAGAGAAAAACAGTCGTCTTCAAGAGGCGAGACTTTCTCACGCAGTGGAGAAGGGGATAATTGGGCGGAGCCTTCCGCATCTCACCGAGAGAAAAATACCCCCTACTACTGCAAGGTACCTAGGGGCCGGATCACGGCCATGCAAGAGAAGGTGGGGAGCTTTATCGCAAACCACACAATGGGCCCCGGCTTCTTAGTGTTCGTGCCGGATCCAGAAGACACAGTCGTCTGGCCGGCTGGTACTAGTTATGATAGCGCCTGCTTTGGCTGCTACGAGGCGGCTATCAAGGCTGGGCTGCGCTTCCTACTCCATCCGGCTGTTCAGCGGATTTTGGATGGGTATGAGTTGGGGTTATGGCAGTTAGCCCCGAACTCCTGGGTCAACGTACTCGGCTATGTGGCCGAGTGCGAACTGCACGGGGTGGAGCCGAACTTCGAGGCTTTCGCCCACATGAACTACCTCAGCCGGACCCCTAAGGCAGGCGGTACCGGCTGGTATCAATTGACGAGCCACAGGGGCTACCTCATGTCAAGAGGCAAAGCAAACAAGTGGAAGGACTGGCGGAGCACCTTCCTCATCATTGAGAGTTCAGACAAAGAACTGAACAAGCGCCTAAACAGGTGGAACAGGAATCCGCCCCTTCTTGCAGGCGGCCGCAGCATGCCGCCTGTTCCCCCAAAGGCTAAGAGAGAGATCCTTGATAAAGGACTCTTTAAGGTAGAGTCGAGGGTCGACTCTACTACAGGGGTACGAGAGCAAGTGCCCCTGCACTGCGTCCCGAGCTTCAAATGGCTCTACGACGAGTACTTTCTGGCCGCCTGTGGCCTCAGCAGTCGGTGCTCAAGAGGTAGCCGGCCTGTCGAACACTCTGTTGTTGCGCACAATTCTTATTATGAATGTTATTGACTTTGCTTTTTTTGTTTTTGTAGCGGACGCCATGAGTAAAATAACCGCTTCAAAGACTGCGGCGGCCATGTTGCGGGCCTCGATCTTGCAACAGTCGTCAACCGACTCCCCCAACAAGGGGGCACCCTTGGTGAGCTTTGAACTTTTCTCACTTGTTGGAGTTGTAGTTGTGTATATACTAACTTTTCTTCTTTTTTAGACGGGCACTCCAAGAGCTTCGTCCTCCCAGCAGCCGGACCCCAAGGCCCGGAGGACGACTGTCTCGAGCTCTCCTGGTTCTGCCAGGAAACGTGCGGCGGCTGAGAAACAGCCGGCCGCATCCTCTAAAACTCCAGTTGGGCCGCCTAAAGGTATGAAATTGGCCTTGTATATTATAGACCTTTCTCGTTTTTTTTTTTTTTTTTTTTTTTTTGTCTAATCCATTCGTTTATGCTTGATGCAGCCGGCCCTCAGGAGCCTGACTTGGTCGAAATGGCCAAATCAATGATCCAGGCTGTACCTCCAGCTGAAAGAGAGGCGGTCAGGGGTGTCGGCACCCTTGACCTGGACGGAATTGCAGGGGTCCTTGCTGAGGTATACTTAGTCTATTTTTGAATACTTTTTCTATGACGCCTGCTT